TTGAAAACATGTATTTGAGTTAACGATTAATAACAAAATAACAATTACAAATTTCTTGTCATTTCTTGCTTCATCTGCTGTTACCATAGCAGAGCGTTCGGCCTAAATGCTGTGTTTGGGGTGGGGTGTGGAGATGGGTATGGGGTGTGAGGGGGTGCAAATGGATGAATGCATCCTGAGCTGAGAGGGAAGGATAAAAGGATAAAATGATAGGCAAGAGAAAAAAGAGGGTGAGAAGGGACGGATGAAGCAGTCAATTAAACTGAAATGGAGAAAAAAGGGGATGGAGAATGATGAAAGTAAAGTAGCATTGAGAGGAGGACGCCCAAAGATGGTGAGGGACAGGCAGCGGGATATCAACAAGAGAGGGACGCAGACACAGAGAGTGATGAAAGATGTTGTGCTGCGGAGGAATCAAAGCAGCAGACTGACATTAGAGCTGCGAAAGAGAAGGACAAAAATATAAAGCATGTGTAATAAGTCCCATACATCTTTAATGTCGGCTGTCGCTGGTACATTTGCAGATTTGTGCGTCATTGTTTTTGATAACTCCATAGCAGGGCGCTGCATGCACATTTTTTCCAAAAAGGTTGTTTCATTATCACTTAGCTTCAGGTGCTGCGGTGACTCAGTGGTCTGGATTTTGGGTGGTGACGGTTTTTGTTCACCAAGCACCAACCAAACAGCCACCCCATAATAACAGTCTGTAGGTTACGCTGTGGTTGCCATGGAGTCTCCAGGGGTGACGGGCAGAGAATAGAGCACGGTTTCCTTAATTAGAGGAGATTGCGCATGATTAGACCGAGGCAGGGCCTGAAGAACAGAGCGCGTGCGCACACACACACACACACACACACACAGTAATAGTGAGGTGTTGCAGGGCGCAGGTAACAGTGTGGGTGGACAGTGAGTGTCAAGCATCTGCAGTCAGTCCGCATTGGTAGATATTTATCATCATTTCATACTGCCAGTATTTCTAGGTGTATACTAAGTTGTACCCCCATTAACCTTTACAAAGGTTTCATTAGTGGTGGGATGCAGTGAAGGCAGGTTGGTTAACCAAACAAACAAAGAAGAATGTCATTATTATTAAAGCACTCACTCTACTTTAAATCGTGTTTAATTTCATTGATAGAAACCTGCTACTTTGTGATATCCTTGTACATTTACGTCTTTACTACAAAAAACACTGTGTTTACATTGCATTCTTGCACTCAGGCTGCATACAGCTCCAACAACCTGCAGCAGTGAGACAGGGCAGTCTCTGCAGCATTGACTCTCAACCTGGGGTCCAGGGATCCTAGGTAGAGCTTTGATCGGGCCCAAAAAATCAGGCCCAACCCGAGCCCAAAAAAAAAGAAGCAGTTTTGGTCCCGAGCCGGACCTGAACGAGAATTTCTGTTTAAAATAAATAATTGTAATAGTTTATCATAAAGTAAACTACATTGTGCATATAATACAGTGCAAATACTTATCAAAACTAATAACAAATTCATTCATGAATTACATTTGCATGCATTATTAATAAAATATTAAATATATGTCTCTGTCCAAGCCCCACCTACTACAGCAGTTTTAGGCCCGAACCCGGGAAGAGAATCCCTGCTCTAAATGTCCGTTTACCGTCCTGGGAGAGGGATCCCTCCCCTGTGGCTCTTCCCAAGGTTTCTTCCATTTTTTCCCCGTTAAAAGTTTTTTTGACAAGTTTCTTTTTACCTGAATTGAGGCTCTAAGCAGAGAGAGTGTTGAATGTTGTACACATTGTAAAACTTCTTGAGGCATACTGCGATTTGGGATTATGGACTATTTATATAAAATTTGGCCTGATTTGACTTGTACCTCTCTGGCAGGGGAGGAGCTGGATCTAGTACAGGTGCAGGGATAGTGATAGTGCAGTCACTTGAGATGGTTCAGGCAGTGTTTCCGTGTTTGCATGGTTTTTTTTTTTTGCAGTCATATATGTTGTCAAAGTGGCAAAGATGTCTTCTTTATCTGATTGGGTTATGTCTCATTTGTTTCTCTCAGGTTACAGTGCAATGAACTCTCTCAGACACAGTACTTTTGTTTTTGGAGAAGGTGAAGTTCTGTAACTTATTCTGTATTTGCCACTTTTTAGTGTTACTGAGCAGATTTTTATTATTAATTTTACTCTGTAGGGATTTCTTTTGATTATAATGTATTGGCATTATGATAACTTGTGCTCTCATGTGTACCCCTCTGCGTACTGGCTCCAATGTAATCTCATTTATTAGTGTTAATAAAAACAGTTGATGATAATATACAGTAGGTGGAAACTGTGATGGAAAAAATATATTCCTTTTCTTCCTTGATAATGAACAATGTGAATGAAAATAAATACAATACAATAAATAATACACAAGTATTACAAGAAGAGAAATGTTTAACCTTTTCCCGCAATATATTTGAACCAGTGTGTGATACAGCACACAGGTGTTGGAACATGCTGCGTCTTGTGATTTATTGCCTGATAACAGGCGAATGTTCCTCATAGAACACATCACATTTAAAAGAAAAACATCAGATATCCAAGCTTTCCTCTGGCCATGTAAATGTTTTTTTCTTCATTTAATCTCAGTAAAACAGGTTCTCATTTCATTGTACATGAAAATGCTTATCATACTGCGGTGACAAAGGAGCTTTGGAAAGCTTAAGTGAAAGCAATTTAGTCTGACAGACAATTATTTTCTTTGTGCCATTTGGTTTGCACACAAGCACACATCCTGCATGTGAAATCATGTGCTCTATTACAGTATAGATACTTACAGATACACACGTACACATTGTTGATTGTTGTTTTATCTACTTTATTTCTACCTATTATGTTTTTCTATTTAACTTTTGACACACACGCACACACACACCTACCCACACACACACAACAACACACACACACACAGAAATGCAACAATTGTCACTCCAGCACAGTGAGGCAGCCATTGTTCACTTCCTCCCTTTGTGATTAAGTGGTAAATTACGAGATCTCTCTGAAAATACTTTCTTATTGTTCAGATTTAAGTGCACATCTGTCCGTCATTGTAGACTGGTTGAAAGTTAGTTGAAAAGCATTAGAAAGCTATTAGGAGAAAATCGCCATCCACGATACAGCAAGTTGCCAACATTGCACTTTGTCACTTTGATGTAGACACACACACACCTACACACTACAACCTAACACACAACACAACACCTAACACACACACCACACGCACACACACACGCACACACACAGGCTGGAGACTTATTAACTTCATATTTTCCTTGTCCTTGTAATCCTTGATTTATTAAACTTTTATTTATCTTTAGGGTAATTTGGACTGGATGGTAGATTTTATACCTGCGCTGACATTTAAAATGCACCTATAAAATGACAATACAATTTGCAATTTGCCTCATTTATTCAGCTAGAAGATAAGTTCTCCCTTCCCACAACACATTTCTTACGTTACTTGCAGATTAGGGATTATGTCTGTCAGAGTAACGTCTTCCTCTTAGAAAGAATCATCTACAAGCTTTTGTTGGGCCCACCTCTAATCCACAAAACTGGTCTCATACTTTATAAATATATTCTCTGAACAAGTAAATTATGCCACATGCTCTCTGAAAAATGTGTGGGAGGAGGGACTGGGAGCACAGATTGGGGATGAAGTTTGGGAGGGGCTTAGCAGGACCCAATCTTGTTTTATCCATTCCAGACATCAGTTCATCTAATTTAAAATGATACACAGGCTTCATTATTCAAAGACCAAATTGCATAGAATTCCTCCTACCATTTCCTCTCTATATATCAATCTACAGAAGGCTCTCTGACCCACCTTTTCTAGACGATGAAGCCTACAGACTTTGGTGACTTTTCGTCCAGCACGGCCATCAATTCAAAATGTCCGTTTGTCCCATACTTTGTTATTTACAACGACCTTTACAGCCTCACAGAGCCATTCACACAGACTCTCTTTAGTAGGCATCATGGAGGCGATCTTACTTAAAACCAATTGAAAGTCATTACAGGGACTATGATTCCACACTGGTGAAAATACAAATGAGGCTAAATGGAAATATTCAGTAGAAAGCTGCTATTTATAGATAACTCATTACACCAACCGTGCTTACATTGAGGTACGTGTTGCCCTTTGCAATTACAGTGCTCACTGAGCTCCCTGGTGATTTGACTTTTTTTTTTTACAAGCTGAGGAGTGTTTTTTTTTTCTTCGCAAGCTGCTTCTTGCGCTGAAATTGCTGCGTCATTTATTTTATGTACAACGGTAGAATTGGATTTACTCACTCGTAACTGCTGAACTGCGCAGCACTTGCCCTCGTGTTGAGCTGCATCCCGAGTGACAGATTTATTATTGCTTTATTCTTCACAGTTTAAGTCACAGCTCTGTGGATCTGTCATCTGTCTGGGTGACAGAGACACTCACTCTCTCTCCCTCTCAGTCCCCCTCTCTCTCTCTTGCTCTTCCTTCCACAGATTTAAGTTGTCACACCTCTGAGCGCTGATGAGCTGTTAATCCCTAACACTTCTACTTCCCCCCCTCCCCTCTCCTTCATATCCCCTTCTCCCTCGTTTTTCCTCCTCCAGTGTTTCTGCAGGAGCGCCCTGTTTGCTTGCTCAGCACTTTCCTGCTCTCCCTTTCACTTGCTCCTCTGTATATTCTAATGACACTGCAGTAGTTGTGGATGTTTGCGTGTGTCCTTGTGAAAAGAAAAGAAGTAATTTGAGGGTCATCTGGAAGTTTTTCAGACCTGTGCATAAATATTGCAAACTGTTTGGATGAGACATTAAAGCTGGAGAGCTTAGCACAACAAAAGGGCGCTGTGATGCATCACTTTGTCTGACTGTTTGAAGACGTGTTGGCAACGTTTTTCCTCCATTCACCTCACGTTAACCTGACCACAAGCTTTAGAGCAAATGTCTATTGACTACGCTGTTGCATCAAAAGGGCAAATTTTAATATACAGCGTTGCTTGTCTCTTTGCAGATGGAAAGGTGTATGCGTTTGGAGGTATGGGGGCCGACACAACACCACAGGCCCTGGTGAGGGTTTATGAAGCAGAAAAGGACCAATGGCAGGCACTGACCTCAATGCCAACGCCGCGGTATGGAGCCACGCCCTTCCTAAGAGGAAACAAAATCTACTTGATGGGTAGGAAACAAGATTCAAGATCATCTACCTTCTCTCTTTTTACCTTTTTATTTCTCTGTGTTTGTCTATCTGTATCCCAGTGGCTCCCAGACTTTTTTAAACCATGGTGACCTTTCAGAGTGACTGTTTTCCCTACTCCCACTGGAATAAATGCACAAAAATACAGTAGTATCCAAGGTGGTGGAAGATTACAGACATGGATCTTTGACAGACTATATTTTTATATGATGTGATATAATATCATATGATATGCAGATCTGGCTATATTTCCATAAACGTAGATACCATTGGATCTTTTCAGATACAGGAGCTTTTTGTCCAGTGTCCAGGCATATTTGTTGACTTTTGATAAACTAATAAACTAATAATAAAATAAATGTAGAATATGTTAGCTAAAATCAATCTTAAGTGAAATAATATGTGCCCATCCTCAAGCACTCAGACGTAATCATTATTTTTAATGCTGTATATGTTGATGTACAGATTTGCAGATACTCAGCCTTAAATAAGCAATTAATACAAATTAAGTTAGCTAATTGGTTAAATGTATTTCTTTCTTTTTGTCTTAAGGTAAAATTAGAATATGTATATATAATTTGTTTTTAGTCTCACACAAGCAGTCAGATGATCCACCACTTTGGTAGCACCCTTGGGAACCATCTGCCACTGCTTATATCTGTCACTTCCTTCTTACACATTGACCCACGGTCTCTCTGACATCCTCTGAGAGCTCAGTTTAGGGATTATGTACAGTGGCGAGTGGTCAATCACTTTCTGAAGGACATTGAAAGCTGGTGATGGATGACATCCTCAGGCTTTGGTGTTTGGTGTTGGTGGGACCATTTGCAACCTTTAAGCTTCAGTGATGTGCACACTTAATACTTATAAAGGGACTCCCCCCTAAAAGTTGGCTGTGTACACTGATGGTGCCCCCGTGTTCTGCTTTGTTGCTCTTTAACTGCATACACACACACCTCCTGAACCGTGTGTGTAAAGATAATTTTATTTCACTGAAGAGGCATTTTGCAACGAGATGAATCCATTTCACGACACGCTACAAGCAACAACACAGTTCACATTCAGCACAAAGTAGCTGTAACCTCCTGAGAGCAGGAGCTTTGGTCATTTCCATAGCAATGTTTTTACTCACACGCTCCACCAGAGGGATAAAATAACTGTTTGCTTCTGTGCAGTGGCAGAGAGAGCTCAGCACACAGTCCCTCCATTTGATGCTGCTCTACACTCCACTGTCTCAGAAGGAAATGTTGTACTTTGTACTGCACTACATTAATCTCACAACTGTAGTTACTTTGCAGATAAGATTTAACATTAAATTAAAATGCTTATCGGATGTAATAATAATCAAATAATATATATATATTTTTTGGCATAATGAGTAAGGGGCCGATCACACAGAGATGCACAAGAGCGGCTGCCTCAAAACCAGCTGGTGCGCCTGTGGAGCAGAGCTGCATGGCAGTCGCTGCAACCGGGCGATGAAATGTTATTACAGAAAAAAAGTGGATTCAGGCAGACCTTTTTTTTACTGGCATAGGAAATGGCATCAAACAGTAAGAAACAGTTCTGCAGGCGACGTGTTTGTGGTGGTGTAAATTTAGCTAGCAGTATGTAGAATTTAGTGGCATCTAGTGGTGAAGTTTCAGATTGAACTAACTGAACATCGCTCATGTCTTTATTTTACAACCTGGGAATGAGAACAGGCTGGAAAGTTTGTAGGAGAAACTATGGTGGCTGCAAAATTTGCAAAAAAACACACCCTATCTAGAGCCAGTATTTGGTTTATCTGTTCTGGGCTACTGTAGAAACATGGCGGACTCCATGAAAGGCGATAAATGTTTCTCAATAGAAACATGGTTATTGTAATTTTTAATCATCTTGATATGGAATGCAATGAGCTGAGATGATGAGCAATACTGAATAGGATGAATTGGGATCAAGTTTTGAAATGCGTTTCAGCATTGTGTATTTGAAATGAATACAGTAGCCCTTTGTGAGTACTTAAATCTTGGGTTCTCTTTTACTCAAATCTGGCAATCTGTATGTGTGTTCTGTCATCCGGCAGCTCTACTATTACTGCGGATGCAATCACTGACAGCAGCTTGGGGTAGTTGGATTGATGACCACTTCACCATCCAACACATTTCATGTGATGTGTAAATACTACTGTGCTAGCTAGCTGGCATAATCAATCAGGAGTTTCATTCAATCACCATACCAGTTCTATTACTGAGAAATTAATAATACAAATTAATGTTTTTACATAGGTATTCAAGATTATTTCATTAATGGCCTGCGAACATCTTGGTCCTCTGCATGCCCAGGGAATCTATGTAAAGTGTATGTTTTCAGACAGGGCACTCTTCATGAAGTAAAGGCTTGTGTATGTTACAAAGAAAGTAAAGGGAAAAGTAGAAAATTTAACACTTTTTAGCACATCTTGCACTCAAACATATGCATCTTGTAGGGGAATGCCACTGCAGTGATGGCAAATTGCTTATTTTCCGTTACTTCCTTGGATTTGTGTATAAAGGTCGAGTTTATTGTTTGATTGTGTGGTTTCTTATTTGTATGTCTGTAAATGGAGCTCCATTTCCCTGTGTACTTTTCTTTTATAATGAAACCCGTCAAGTCTCACGTCTTACCTGGGATTATGGTGTTGGCTACCCCCAACCGTGAAATGAACATCTCATGCGCTGTCACACAACAAAGAAAAGAAAAGAGTGTTTATCGTAATCGTAGTTCAGTGCACTACATGGCTCCAGCTTTGCTCCTGACGGCGCTGTCAAGAGAGGTGGTGGCGAGTCTGAAGCACAGTGCACCGCAGGTCTGATAACAACATGTGTGCATTATCAGTGGAAGAGTAGATAGACATAAACAAGATCCATTAAAGATGCAGAAAATAAAACATCCGTAGGTTCTCTGCAGCCTAGCAAGTTAATTCATCTCGGTCTGGCTGGAGCTAATGATGCCTGGGAAGTTCATAGGACAGAGAGGGATGGCTAATCTAAAGTGCACCCACATGTACACAGCACACACACACACACACACACACACACACACACACACTAATACACGCATGGGAGTTAAATCACATTATATCACATTACACACAGAGTTATGAGCAATGTGCAAACAGAATAATGTGATATTCATGCTGTTTGTTTTATAACTGGATATCATTATTCCTCTATCTTTTCCTCTCTGTTTCACTCTCTCAGTCATGTAGTGTGAATGTAATGCCTGTTCACTTGCTACACTTGAAAAGTTTACCGTACCTTGTAAATTCATGCTGCTTCTTCAGCTGCCGCACCACTCGGGGGGGTGTTTGGATCAGTGGGTGCCTGAACCCCCCTTTGATTAAAATTCTGTGTGTTCCCAGTCAACAGCAGACTTAGTGGCATATGATGCAACTCATTGGGCTTCATACTGTTTTAAATTTCTCGAGTGTCTGTGTGTGCGTGTATGCAATTTAAAACAAGGATGTTGGTGTATTGTCAGCGCTGGTAATCAGAACACAAGTGCAGCTGCAAAGAGGCTGTCAGCAAGTCAAGGATGATCAAAAACTCTTCTGTGGAACAAAAAGATATGCGTTTAAACACACAGCACATATATAGTATACAGTTTTTAGTATCTTGTTGCATGAATGAATGAATGCATATTGAATGTTCTTGAATGAGGGAATGTGGGAGTATATTAAAGTAACACCTACCTTCTGCTGCTGCAACGGCACATAAGGAATGCATATCACTAAAAAGACAAATCTCCTCAATCCTAAAGCCCTTCATGCTACTGAAGCGATGTATCAGTTATCAGCAGGTAGATCAGAAATGGTCTCTAATGTGTCAGCCACTGTACAGTTATATGTAAAGATTTTGACTTGACAAAAGACACATTTCGGTGACTTATTAATATAACATATCCTAGAGAGGCTGTTTTTAAACCTTTTCAGTAAAAAAAAAAAAAAAAATCACCAAAATATGTCATTTGTCAAACCTTTACATCCAACTGTACCTTTATCTGCAAGGGCAATCTCCCAGAGAGTAAGAACAACTGATAATATAATTCCATTTGTTTTGGTGTCATAAATCAACATTTTGGAAAGATTTAAATGTTGACCTAAGGGTGGTGATGCAGAAAAAGTCAGGGGATCACCAAAGTCAGTAGGATTCATCTTCTGGTGACCATAAATGTACCAACTTCCATAGCAATCCATCCAGCAGTTGATATTTCAGTCTGGACTAAAGTGGTGGACAGACTGACCAACCAGCAGATCAACATTGCTAAGCACTTGTATGACGAACAATCTACTAATTATATTATATCATTAATTATTATGTTATACCATACCATGTGGAACAATGTGTGCCACAACAAAAGAGTTTTTAGTTTTTAAGTCAAAAGTCAAAGTCAAAGTCAGCTGTAATGTCAATTCTTCACGTGTACCAGACATACAAGGAATCGAGAGGACGTTTCTCATTCACGCCACGGTGAAACAGATAAAGTGCACAGGCACAACAGATAAGATCAGAATGATCTTGATCTTGAATGATTAATGATTGTATTGTAACGGTCCAGAAACTGCTCCCAGGTCGGTAAAGTCACCTCATAGGCTGTGTACATGTGATCACTGGCACTGGAGTGAGATCTATGATTTCCCACTGTATGAAAACTACTTCTAGTTATTTAAGCTTTGGTGCTGTTTGCCTCTGACCTTTCAAACACATATTTTGACATTTTGGCAAATATGAGAGAAAGTTTCCAAACGAGCCGCCATGTTGGTTCGTTCTGATATCCTGCAGCAGCGAGCCTTTGTCCAATCAGGTGCAGGTGTGTGTGTGTGCGGTTGGAGGAGGGTGTAACCCTGTGGTCATGTACCATTACATGAGAAGATCAAGGCCACTCTCCTGCACACATCATGGCACTAGAGCAAGGAGTCAATTAGATTAGCTTAGCATTTGAAAGCAGGGGAAAACAACTCTAGTCGGCTCATTGCACATAAAACCACATCTTTCAGCTTGTGTGCAGATTAAACAAGCAAGATGCTATGTGCTAATTAGTAGGCTAAGCTTTAGTCGTGCTGGTAGACATATTTTTGGACTTTGGACAGATCCAGTCTAGCTGTTTAGCTCTTCAGTCTTAATGCTAATCTCAGCTAATCGACTCCTGGCTCTAGCTGCATAGATTGGCAAGACAGCAAATAAGCTTATTCTCCAAAAATATCAGACTATTTATTTTAGGACTGTCCAATATGATTACAGCTAACCAAATTACCTTAAGCACATGCCATTTGAAAATAAACGTGTAATGGCTTTTCATAAAGCAATATTTTAGTTTTTCTCTGTCAGTTCTGTCAAGTAGCCTATATACATTACACAGACGACATAGCAGTGCAGTGCTGAGTTTTTAGTACAAACTTATACATATTATATAGTATATGGTATATACTGTACATAACCGAACTCATACATGCAGGAGTTCTGTTTTAATGTGGATTTTTAATGCCTCTGTATACTGAACAGTTGAAGTGTCATTATCAACAGATCTTTTAGCTCAAAATGTCTTTCTTTCTCCCGTACCTCTCTGACTCTAATGCTTCCCACTCAGTTCGACTCTTTGTCTCGCTGCTGCTATCGATCTCCATGCCACCCTGCCTCCTCCAGCTGACCCTCTTCCACTTTCTTCTCTCCCTCCTCCACATTTTCCTCTCTTCCTGGTGTTACTTTAGCACAATTTCTCTGTCATTGTCTAATTTTTTCATTCTGCCTTTCACCATCTATGTCTGTATTCTTGTTGCTTCTCCTTCCCCTCCTTTTTTTAAATTTACCCCCAACACCCCTCTCACCCCTCTTGCCTCCACCTCCCCTTCCTTTCTCCATCATTCACATTCTTACTGCCCGCTTCCTCCCCTCTCTCACCACTTTGCCTTCCCCTTGTATTTGTATTTTACAAGGTTAAGTTATGATTTGTGGAAGTAAACAACTTGCTGGCGTCCTAAGGGAGCACCCTGCTGCTGTGCTCTGCTTTTAGTCCAGAATTAAATGTGGTCCCATGGCTGGTCTGCACGCTTGCCAGACTTTGACATAAATGCCAATGAAACTCTGTGGCAGGGGATTAAAAAGCAATGAAAGAAACAGGAAATGGGAAAAAAGACAAATAATGTCACACATAAAATGTATTTGCGAGTCCTTGGCTTTATTCTTGTACATGCTAATATTCCTGGTAATGTATTCCATTTATGAGATTGTGCATAATTGTGATTTTGATAATATAGCAATGATTTGGAGTAAGTAATCCAGCAGGTTATTACAAAAACATAATCCCAGATGATTTGAACAAATATATATAAACTGTGCGGATGTGTAAAGCCCCAGAGTCATCTTGTTTTGACCCAGAACGTGAACATTCTTCTTCCTCCTCCAGGTGGTCGTCAGGGAAAGATGCCGGTGACGGCGCTGGAGGCTTTTGACCTGGAGATGAAGAGCTGGACACGTTACCCCTGCATCCCAAGCCGGAGGGCCTTCTCCTGCTGCGCCACGAATGAGCGAAGCCTCTTCAGCCTTGGGGGCCTCCAGCAACCAGGGCCGCATAACTTCTACTCCAGACCTCACTTTGTCAGCACCATGGAAGAGTACGATCTGGATCAAGGTTAGTGGTGACCTAACTGTACACTATGTGGTAACATTAAACTATTACTTTAAGGCAGGACGTAAGGGCAGGCTGCCCATGTGGGGTACTGGGAGTTTTCCTGGTGTGCTGCTACACAAGTTGGCCTAATGCAATAAAAACAAAAACACATTAGTGACGGGCCCAGTGTAGGGAACTGACCAGCCCAGGATTCAGGACTGACTGTCTCCCCCCTACAGCCATTCACATTCTGTTACCTGGCTGCTTCCTGTGGCTTCACCTGCCCCATCATGTCAACACTGACAGAGCGAGTAGCTGACTGTTGCTGACTCACTGAAGTAGAAATCGCCAGAAATAGAAGCATCTAAATGCTTAGAAATGACAAGTTAATGGATGTAGCGCTGCCGGTGGCAGCAGGAGGACTGCTAGAGCAGCAGAGTGGATTCAGGACCACAGCCTGTCAAGGCTTGTGAAGGTTTTGTATCTGAAGCGGTGGGCAGAAGACAACACAGAAAAGCTAATCAATAGTTAAAGAATTCAAAGTATTTTGTCTGTGTGATTTGCTTAGATTTGCCTTGCAGGGCTTCATTCTTACACGAGGATTTAATTAAGAAAACTGTTGCTGCTGTATTGTCCAGTTTAAATTCTAATATACCAACAGTGCTTCTTGGTATACAGTGAGTGGAATGTGAAATACACTGACCTGTGCAACGTAACGCAGTGCAAGTGGCACTGCTAAAATGCCTGACTATAATGTGTGGTTTTTGTTGGTATTATTTTTGGTTGTATTATATGAAAAGATGTTTCTGGTACTTTGTCCACCTCGCAACGACATCGCTATAAATTCTGCTCTGACATGGTGTAAATAACTATATACAGGTTTTATGTATCATTATACAAATTATGATAGTTAATTTAGGTAATCACATTCTTTTTTGCTACTAAATTCCTGTAAGGACGTCAGTATGGCTGGTTGACAACCTTCTTAGTTCAGGACTGTTTTTCTGCAGCAGGCAGGGCCACCCATAAGGGGGGAAAGGGGGCCCTGCCACTGACGACTCATCCTAAATATAGGCTTTTTTTAAACACCAAAATACTCACCATTACTTATTTAAACAACAAAAATAAACATTTTATTTATTGTTGCTTGAGTACAATGCCACCTGTTTAATAATGATAATTCCCTGTCCTGATAATGGTAGGAGTTTTTTAGTGTGCTATGTTAAAATGTCCCAGCCAGGCTGAAGAGGTGAAAGATAGCTGGGAGGCTAATGTTACTAGCCAACAGGTTAGTAGCGTAGAGCTATCATCACCAGTGTGTGCCCCCATCACTGAGTAAGTCTCTTTCAGTTTACATGTATGTGTTGATGTAGAAGCCATGAAGCAGGTGCATGCGTTGGTATAAGTGAAGCAGGTTTGGGCCCATTCAGTGGACCTTTTTAGGTGCCCTGCCATTTCTGTTGGGGGGCCTGTTGGTGACGCATATATACATTAAAGACAATACAAAGAGACAAAGCATACTACCAAAGCTCGGGAGGTGCTGGCCATAAGACAATATTTAAAGAGGAAAGACAGGCGACACACTGAACTTAACCAAAGGGTCAGAGGGTAACACTTTGAGGTAAACATTGGACAAATAAAACTGTGACCCATCATTCATCAATGATTTTATTTTAGGGAATTGAAAAACCTATGTTTATAGAGGTAATTCCTTCTTAGTTTGATTCATTTGCATACACAATAAGAGAGAAGCTGCCTTGTCTGCAGTCCAGTGGAATTGTTTGTTGAGTTTCTCACAATGTGCACAATGCCACCCTGGAGCACTTTGAACAGAGTGAGAACATGATCTGTTCTGTGCTGATAATCCAACCCAAATATAGGAAGATTATACATCAGTTGAGTCAGATCATATCAAAGCTGATGCTGCAGCAGATTTTGGACCAGTGAAAGAAAGGAACAGATGCTCCCACAGTGCATTGCTGATGAGTTATGGCTTGCTTGAAATGTTGGTGCATAAAACGTAACTGAACAAATGTAATAAGTAATAACGCTTCTGCTGATTTAGATGAAACAAACACATCGGTGGTTTATAGATCATTTGCTATAAATCTGCGAGTTGTTTTAACTCAATGCCACACTCACACCTTTTAATTTAGGGCTGCATTTTGCTGTAGTGTGAGGGATTAGAACCACAAACAAAATGAATCATTACCTTGGGAACAGGGTGTTTTGGGCTATGATAAGCTTTAATTAGTCCACATTATTATTTTGTACTTTTGTGCAGGCGTCACAACATCTGCTCCAAATCCCATTTTAAGCAGCATGAAAACCGAACAGAGTGTGCCTCCATCGTATATTAATGTAATTATGTCTGATATTAACAAGAATGAGGCATTTCCAGATGGGTCCCAGCAGCTCTGGAAGAGTGTAATCTTTTTGAGCGAGATGGGGGAGAATCGTGTCCTCACCAAACCTTTACCATAGTGTATGTGGACATGGATCAATTACATCATATATTGTTTAATCTAAAACTTTAATTTAAAAGCAAACAGTATTTACCTCAAACTCCCTTGCATCCTATATGGGGCTTTGTGGTACACTTCACCACGGGTGTTGTAGGGATGATAATCACATTTTTGTGATTCACATATTTAGGGAAGGAGACTGTTATTATGTCAAACTACATGCCCATATCATAAGAGCAGAAACTGATTTTGCCATGCCCTTCTACAGTTGATGGAATCGAATACTTTGGCTGAAGATGCTGGCATAGAAAGGGCATGTAGTGAGACAATCTCAGAAAGAAGCTCAGGGACGGCTGCTCTGCTGGCGCTACTGTTCCTGAAGTGCCTTTGTGAGGCTTTCAATAGCTTAATTTACAGGATATTGAGTATCAAAGGTGGTCACAGGGTGAGTGTGATGTGGATATAAAAAGGGTGCACTGACTCACTGTCATAAATAGAATAATCTATGCAGCAGCAGCTGCAGACTCCGCAGGTATGTTAACACTGCAGGTACGCTGCAGGTATTATCAGATGGATGGATGGATTATGAGAGAGATGAATTCTGTTTTCTGTGGAACTCTCTAGGACACATATGTCCTGCTGCTGTGTATGATCAGTAATGCGATATCTAAATATTGTAGTATGATTTATCCCACAACATTAATTAAGCACTTTTGGGAGTGTGTAATGTTGCTCTCATAATTTGGCTTTTATGGTCACTCACACTGGATTTTTACATCCTCTTCTGTACCATTCATTTTTATTAGCAGAAAGAGAAGTTAAGAGCCTTCCCTAATTCTCACTTGGAGTTGATTTTACACACTAGATTTTATCATAAACTACAAGTCAGAGTACAAGTTCATACAAAAAAAGAATTGATAACATAAATTTAGAACCTGCCTACACATGTTCTAATGTGTGGGCCTGCAGCAAAATACTGTATGCGTGTGCACACTTCAAGGTGAATGTGAGTATTCATGATGCATGAATGGAAAACATTTCCATTTGTTAAACATGGGCTCTGCTTTTTGTCAAAAAATTTGTTAATAATTAATAATATAGCTTCATAGACAGTAGGGAGATGGATGGATGGATTGATGGCCGTTGTTCTGTGCAGTGAGTCGTGATTTAATTCAGCTTCAGTGACATCTAGGAGCTACAGAAAGAAAACTGAAGAATCTAGAGATAAAGAGAAAGCTAATAAGTCTTGCTAAGATTCACTGTGTTTTGGACGCTGAACACTTAGTAATCCAAGTTGTGTGTCTGTCCACCATTATGTTGACTTGCTCCGATAGGAGGGCAGTGGATGGATCAATGAAGGATGAATTGTCATTCTTGGCACGAAGATTGTCCCCGTCACACACCATCCACTACGCTTCCACTCCAGTTGAACACAGCGCAACATGAAGCACAGTGCAGCCCTCTTCACTTTCTATGGGGCACAAATTAATCACTTTTGTTGGACAGCAGGTGATGTAGGAATGGACATTTTTCACTAAAGACATTTTGGCATTTTGGTCTGCTGTGAAAAAAGCTAGCCACGCAAAAATGGAGTGGGTTGAGAGATGAAAAACATCAAGACACTGTGATGCAGTGGTGGACAAGAACGATAGTCTTCACCAGCTAGATGAGCAGGGATGAAACTGCCTAAACAAGTCAGTGGGGCCAGCCACTGTCGCTTACTGTAGACCACATACTTGCTGTACTTTGATAGTGCTCATTAGTAAATGTTAAAATGCCGGCCAACATGCAGTTTAACCTCTGCTTTGTCATTGTGGACATGTTGCCATGCTAGCATTACCATCTAAAATACAGTGCAATGGCTGTAGGCGCTTAGCCTTGCTGTTTCTATTAGTGAAGGTAAAAGAAATGAATTGACCAGTTTAGAAATGAATGCTTCACTGGGCTCTCATGTCTGTGAGAAGATTTGTCAAGACTTTAAAACTGTATAAGTCTTGCATTTGCATATAGATCAACATTTAACATTTGAACAATAATAGTAAGAGAGCTGACACACACAGACATACACACACACAGCAGAAAGTGCCAAATGCCTGAGACTGTGGTGCGTCCTCCGGCTGCGGTGCAGCCAGGTGAGGGAGAATGATTAGATATTCTACAAATGAACTCTGGATGATTTAGCTGCTCATTGTTGGATGAATGGATTAAACCATAAAGACATTATTAGGCGGCTACTGTGTGTATCTAAATTCTGTGAGTGTGACTAAGCAAATGCCTTCTTGTGTTTGTGCATACAGACGGATGTTTAAGAACAGGAAGTGTCTCAGTGTGTGCAGGTGTGGGGATTATGAGGTTGCTCAATTGTTAAAAGACCCCCCCCCCCCCCTGAGTGCACAGTACAGTGTGTGTGTG